GCACTCCTCCCCATTCCCCTGGTGTCGAGTTGGGCTCGGCGACGGCTCGACGCGTCGTTCTCGGTCACATGCTTCCCACGTGTGCGTTCCTCCTACTGGGGCGCATGTTCCCCGTCGTCACGTGCTGCGTGTTACGGGCCCGCAATGGCCCGACACCAGCGCCGGAGCGGACGGGCCGGGTCTTATCCGTGACATCACCCCCTCCCTAGGAACGACTCGTCTCGAGTCGGCGTGGCTCGGTCGCCCGGTTTCTCGGGTTTAATTTTGACTCTAGCTCGTCCTTCCAATCGCAAATTCCATCCAGCCCATAAGCTTAAGCTAAGCTTGGCTGCGCATTTTAATCTCCCTGGGCTTCTGACGCCTCGTGGCGTCCGCAGATCGATTCTTCCTATCCATCAAGTGTTTCACCGCGGTCACGTGCGGCGTAGCGTTCGTGTTGCCAATTCAGTTGCGTCCTTTGTTCATATTGCTTGCGAGTGGGCTGTGCTGCGCGCCTCGGTCGAGTTCGATATAGAACGCGTTCGTTCCCCCATATAAGCCAGGGCTTTTCCCTTCTGATCCTCTTCATGTCGTCCCCCAACTTGTACCGCTCCGGGTTGTTGCCCCCCTTTGGCTCTCAGATGGTTCCCCCGTCGTCGGAGCCTGGTCGCCTGTTTGTTCGTTTTGCCTCCATGTCGCTCGTCGAGTTCCCTGCTTCCTGGCCCCTCTTGCAAGGGCGAGACCCGTCGTACCGGGAGTCATTCGAGCCCCTCCGCCTGTTGGAGGACTTGCCTCCGTCTCAAGCCGCCGACTATTCTTCCAAGCTGTTCCCTCGGTTAGCCCCCGTAGTCCGTTCCCATCGAGCTTCTACTCTCCCAGTCCCCCTGCCGCGCCCTTACTGCCGTCGTCCTCCCTTCGAATCTTGTGGCAGGGCGAGTTCGACCGCCTGATGAAAGCCGGTCTGTGGCAGCCGGTTGTCTTCGGGCCCCACCACCTTTACTTTGGCGTTTTGTTTGATGTGTTCCCCTCCTCCTTCGTCTGGCGTCGCGAGGACGGCTCCCTTCAGGATATCCGCCCCTTGTTCGGACAACTGGGCCGTGGCCTCCTTGCCCATCTCCTTTCTGCCGACACTTCCTCCCCCGATGCTTTGTTCTTTCCCCGTTTGTGGCGTTGGGTGGTACGTTCCCTTCCTTGCCCGCTTCCGATCGTGTGCTGACGGTCTCCGCCCAGCGCCTCATCCTTCACGCCTTGTCTTGCGCTGCCTCCGTTGGCCTCCCCTCCTTCGTCTCAGACCGATTCCTCGTCTTGGCCCACGTGGCCGCTTCGCGTGTTTCCCGGAGAGAATATAACTCGGCCCGATACGCTGGCCCGTCTGCTGGGCCCTCTCCCTCCGTCTCTCGTGCCGCCGTTCCTTCACGCCGACCGGTGGTCGTCATTCGTTCGGGTAGTCTTCTTGCCGGATCCTCGGGACGAGGTCGCGTTCTCGGGTGGCCCTTCGTTGGATGAGGCGGAGGCGGGCGTCTCTTTTAGCTTCCTCCCTTTGGCAACTTGGTTAGACGATCAATTCCCGAGCCCTGGAAGTGATCCGGAAGGTGCCGGGGTGACGGCCCTGATGGGAAAGCGCGTGCCCCCTACGCCCGTGGCTCGGGCGCGATCCTCCCCCCTCTATGGAGATCGACGTGGAGCATGACGGTGCCCCGCCTGTTTCGGCCCTCCTGTTCCTCCCCTCTGATCCGGACTCGAGTTCGGATGTGGAAGTCATTGCCGGCCCCCGTCGCTTGTCCTCGCTGGGGATCGACCCTTCGGAACACGATTCGGTAGAGGATGAGCTTGACCCTCCTTTTTCCCCGGCCTCGTCGCCTACCCCGTTGCACCGGGATTTCGGCACCCCCTTGGCCCCTCGTCTCGAGTCCACTGGACAGCTGGCGCTTTTCGGGAGAGCCCCCCGTCGCCCGGGGACCGTGATCCGATCCCTCTCCCCTCGCTGCGAGTATTGCATCGCTCATGATCGTTTGTGCACCGTGTGGGGGCCCCCCAGACAGTTCTCCCCAGAAACTCCCTGGTCCCGTGCGTCGGGCTTGTGACGCGTGTGTAGCCCGCTCCATCGTGCTTGTCTGCGCTGGCGGTCTTTTGCAGATGCGTACAAGGCTCGCTCCAGGGCTCTGCACGATTTTTCCTTCGAGTTTTGGGAGCGTCAAGTCGAGGATGGCGAGTTTGCGCTGCTACGTCCCGATCCCCGCTTCGCTGATCTAGTCGGGCTGTCCGCATCGGTCCCGTACCGGTCCTTCTTGTTCTCCTATTTGCCCCGATCAAACGAGGATCGGTTCGGGCGGAGCCCAACCCCGACGGTCGGGCCTTCTTCGGGCCGTCGTCGCCGCCCGGTCGTCCTTTCGTCAGCGTCTTCTCGGGACTCCTCCCCGTCCCCGTGCGAAACAGTTCGCACCCGCTCGCCGTCTCCCCCCACCATCGTCAAGTCGGCCCCCGCCGAGGCCCCGCCCACTTTCCGCCGGGCCGGCCTCCCCTGTCGCGAATCGCTCGTTAGGAGAGGCCTCGTCCCGGCCATCCGTCCCTGCGGGTGAGACCCACCCTCTTTCTTATCCCACCATGGGTTTCCAGGTGCCTTCGTTCCCTCGAGTCTCCCTGTGGTTCGGGAGGGGATGGGACTTGGATCGGGCCATTGCCGAGTCTCGCCGGTTGCATGGGGACCCGTCGGTACCCGCCGATCAGCGCTTGTCTCCGTTGGGCGTGCTGTTGCTGCAACAGTCGGCGGTTCATTCGGCCGACGGGGGCTTCCCGGATGCTCGGACCCGCGCACTCGCGGAGTTGTCGTCGATGCGTTCCCTGGATGCAGACCTCCGGTTGGTGAACTCGCTGGAGTCCCTGACCGCCTCGCGGGGACGTCGCCGGCGTGTGCCGCTATCTGGGCGCCATTCTTCTGGCTATCCACCGGTCCGAAGGAGAGAGGTCGGGATTCTGGGAAACGCCGGAGGGTTTAGAGCGTCGGGCCGCTGAACGAGAGGTATATGCGAATGTGTGCCGTCAGGACGGCCTGAGCTTCGACATGATGGACCTGGATTAGGCTTCGGCGGGTCGTTCGTCGTCTTTCGGCGACCTCGGCCGGAGTTCCCCGTCTACTCGGGTCGCGGCGCTCGGGGTATCCTCCTCCTTTTGTTTTGCTGTCATTGTTCGCGCTCTGTCCAGTCGGCCCCCCTCCCGTAGGGCGCCCCGTGATGATTCGGACCGTATCGTGTTTGTTTTTGGTCTGCGTGTTTTTTCCCCTTTTTTTTGTATTTTGGCTGTTTTGTAATCGATCGATTCGTCTTGCGCTCGTCCGTTGTGTGATGGGTGAAGAAAGAGTTTTATTATTAGGGGCAGAGGCCCCGCCACAGATTAAGTAGAGCAGATTACGAGAGAGATAAGAACGGGCCCCCAGGGCCTTCGTGCGGGAGGGAGGTGTGTCCCATTTCGTCAGGCAGAGTGTGCCGGTGGCCCGGGCGGTCCGAGACGATTCGGATCGGGGGTTCGGCCGTACGCGGGGGAGGGGGGGGAGTTGTTGAGGCGTCGGGCGCTTTGCGGCGGGCCCGGCGCCCTGGGCCGGGCAAGTGTGTTCCATGTGCCGATGGTGTTCGTCCAAGGAGACCCGCCTAGGGGTGCCCCACTTCAGGGCGGGCTCCTTTCTCCCGTAGAGGACGCGGTTGAAGACCACGGGCTGGGCTTCGAGGGTGCGTCCGTATAGGTAGGCAAGGGAGGCGATGACGATAGCCACTATCGTGGCCCACGCCGGGAGTGCGATGACGGTGGTAGTGTCCATTCTGTTGCGGGTGTAGGGGGATCGCTTAGATTCTGTCAGACTGCGGGTCGGGCCGTGCAAGGACCTCTCCTAAGAACGCGCCGCCCGGAACAGAACAGACGAATAGTCGGGCCCGCAAGTATGGCGGGCGGGGTAGATCGAAACCGAAAGGGCCCGTGAACTCGGTCCCTTGCCGTAGTCGGTGGTCGAAGGTTCGAATCGGGTCGTGTCGGGCCCGATGAGTCGATAGCGTCTCCTCGCACGGAGTAAGGTAGTTCTTCAGACGATCTAAGCGATAGAGTACAGGGTACACTATCGCGCATTATATACGCTGGCCCGCAAAGGGGGTGATCGGACACCCTGGCCCCTCCTCCTCCTCCTCACTCCCGTTCCTGGCCGCAGAGGGGACGATCGCACATCCCTTGCGGGCCAGGCGCTACTCCCTGACCTCCTAGCACTCCTCCCCATTCCCCTGGTGTCGAAGTTGGGCTCGGCGACGGCTCGACGCGTCGTTCTCGGTCACATGCTTCCCACGTGTGCGTTCCTCCTACTGGGGCGCATGTTCCCCGTCGTCACGTGCTGCGTGTTACGGGCCCGCAATGGCCCGACACCAGCGCCGGAGCGGACGGGCCGGGTCTTATCCGTGACATTTGTCACCTTTTCTGGCGCCTCCAGTGCCGATCACTTCCTAAAAAGGAAAATTTTTGAAGCTACAACTTCAAATATTTAGTCACAGGTCACAACCCATTTGAATTGAATATAATACTACAGTACCTCCTATGCTGTTCAATTTCTTCTAGGATGTGTACAGTCATGGCATAAGTGAAGGGCCTGGTGAACACTACTGTAAGATTTTATTCAATTTGAATGGCCCCGGGGGCTGTGACATATTGATGTCCGAAAACATTTGTACGATGTTCCCCATTTGGTAATTTGGTGTGCCAAAGGCGCGGGAATTGTGGAAAATTGCCATTTTGGGAAGCCAAAATTCACTTTTGGCTGTAACATACGAAAAAAAAATTCGCATAGAATCGGTCGTGTGACATGTGACATACGAATTGAATACAATCTTACAGTATTCATTGATGAATCAAGTCAACGCCAGAAAAACTTGAAATCACCTAGCACAATTGCTGTGCTACTTACATACATCGAACTCCCGCATGTACAAACTTATGTAAGCCGCTCCACTCATTTCGCGTCGGAGTCACGTGTTACATAACAAGGTTTCCTTACAACCACAACGGTCCACTGCAAAATGGGAATGCGCGGGTACAGGTCTGTTCTCGTTACCAGCGGCCAGTAAAGCTACACTTCACGTGTCCAAAGAGTGTATCGCTACAAACGCCGCTATTTCGTCACATACAACCACTACGACAGCGACCCGACCGTCTTTGGCGTGCGAGTTAAGAACGAGGTACCATCCGACGCAGCAGACTATCAGCTCTGGCTAGCAACGCTTCGCCAAAAGCTCGAGAAAGAATTGGAGGCTCATGCTGTTGACAAGAACGCGTCTGACTTTGGAATCTCCCACCGGCCACCCGTGAATGATATACTCATCGAGTGGATTTATGAGCTGGATCTGGACAACGAACTGTTTCTCGGTGACTCCTTGCGCCTCGTTCGGGTCAAGAACTGAATGCATCTTGTTAGTGGATAACTGTCCGATTTTTTCGTTGAAGAACATCCCCGCTAACGACAAAGTGTTTTGTGCCTGCATCGGATTCGACAGCTATGGTCACCGGAGCTATTCGCCATGGACGCCCGTCAAATATCGCGGCAGCTGGGTCGTTGATCCACCGCTTGTTGATCAGGCAGCCATTGTGGCTTACGCTGCTCTTGAGCCAGAGATAGTTGGAATCAACGCCATTCTCGACCTTCCGCCGGGTAGGGAGCCTCTGCAGTGGGAGTTGACACGTGTCGCATTCTATGAAATCGTTGTGGGCGGACGAATGCGCGCTGACTCATTTGCACCGTCTATTCACGTGCTGCAAACCGTGAGCGATCGCAGGGACATTCCCTTGTACATCTCCTCATGGGGAGCTGCGGTTTTGCGGCTGGGAATACGGCGTCTCGACCTGAATAGCATAGAGAACGGTGAACCTGGCTCCAACCGTGACATCGATTCCGCGCCTGTCTCGGCACAACAGCTGCTCTGGATTGTCCCAAATACTGTTTGCGTGCGATTCTGCACACACCTTAACGACGAGCGGGTTTGGAAGAAGGAGGCACGTGAAATGGCGCACGAAATGGAGCAAGTCAAGTCCGAAACTGTATTCGGGATCCTGTTTTCGCTTTTCCACTGCGCAATCATGAAGCGAGTGGACGGAAATTTACAAGTCACCCGAGCGATGCAATTCTTGCCATCATTGCACGCAGACAACCCTTCGACTCCGGGTATCGCGGCAGTTGCACGGCTTGGGCTGTGTAAAGCACTCCATAAACCTAGCGTAAGTTGCGTAACCCGGAATAGTCTACCGGGTCATTTTCTGTCCTCCGTTCCGCCAGAAATCATTCAACATATAGTTGAAGACCTCTCTCCGACAGACCTGGACCACCTCTCGTGGGCAGCGCCCGCAATATTCGAGCCTCACGTGAACACCCTGCTGTGTCGTTATTCGTATGTCGGCGAGTATAGACTTGACCGCGTTCTCCCGGAGTCCGTCCCCTCCAACCTAAGCGAAGACGAAAACCGCCAAGGATCCCCGTCAGGCCTGCCTGCGGTTCATTCGCGCTACTTTGCCGCGACCTTTCTCGGGCGGCCCCAGTCCCTGGAGGCTCAAAATATGGCGGATATCCCCAAGTTACAGGTTATGATCAACTCTGACATGGTCTACCTCGACTATGAGGACAAATCGGTGGGAAATTTCCAGTATTGGCGCGATGACTACTGGGATCGGAGCCGCGACGACTATCGACTACTAATGGGGGTCGCACTGAGCTCCCCCCATTTCGGACAGACCTAGTAATTTGTAAAGTAGATCTGTAGAATCTATAACGCCATTCGCGTCAAGTAACAGCACCTAGTCATCATTATCACTGGGCCTCTCCGTCCTAAGTATGACACGTTGTCACAGAAAGACGAACCCCTGAATTTTTGTTTAAAAACGTTAAATTGGAAGAAAGTTAGGGAAAGTGTTGGGAAAGTGTACACCGTGACGGCGCACGCCGCTACTAGCTACACGGGACCGCGTGTCGGATCGCGCGAGTCAATCCAATATCGTCACTTCGTTTCTGGAGTCAGGGAGGCCGCAAGTTTGGCCAGGTTGGGACCTCACAGTAATTTATTTGGTATGGCCAACCAGTGATGTGATGTGTCACACTGGTGACACATCAGTGACACATCAAATACTTAATCAACCTTGAACAACCACAACCTACACAACCAGCAACACAGAATCGGTGTCAGTCTTGGACAATAGTCTGAATACAATACCGTGACGATGGGGTCCATTGGATACCGTTGCCGTGAATCGCCACAGGCTGGCCACACTCGCCTTGTGTTGTTTCTGTTTCTGTTTGTTCTCGAAGACGCCCACAAAAAAGCGACCATAAAACCGCTGTCGATAGGGCCTTTGTTCTCTATCCCCCCACCTAAATACGATGACTGGTACGCACACCTTACTCGCACCTTCCAAATATCAAAGCCAGTGCAGAATTCGAGGATATAACACATCGGTCACCGGAATATGTCATGAGGATCCACCTCAGCCGGTATGCGCCGTCGGGTGGAGCTGTGTAAGGGCGCTCTCCCTGTACAATCTCACTCAATAATGTTCATGCTTTAGAGACCCCACTGTTCACTTTGCCGACACTACCGTCGAGACCGCAGATCAATGGCTGGGAGATGACTCGACGGCAGTGGAGATCCCGGGAGAGCCAAATGATGTTCCTCTAGATCCCCTGCCCACTTTTGCATACGAGGATGCAGATATAGTCCAAAGGTTCGCCACTTTACTTTCGCGGGTAGTGCAAGAGGGGAGCTTGGACGCAGCTCCTGGTCTCAGAGAACTTCTCGTGCGCCTAGACACTGCACACGACACAGAGGGCAGACCACCCGCCAATGGGCCACAGAACCCCGATACCCCAGCCCCCGCATCAAATATAAATCAGTCTGGCCTTCGCCGCGGGCAGGTCCCCCCTCCAATGCGCGTGCAGCCTTACCCGACACCGTCACGAGCCACTCATCCCGCTACTCGACTCGGAGCGGCGGCTGAGCACTCGCAGACTCCGTCTCGTCCTCGTGACCATCATGTCCACTTCCCCCCAGCAGCTACTCCGCAAGAAAGGCATCACTCTCGGACAGCATCTCGGGCTAATGGCGAGACGCCGGCTCGGGAAACGCGGAGAGAGGGGGTCCGACCGCCCAGCACACCAGCTGCGCCCGCCCCAATTCACCCTACAAGAACACCACAACCGCCACAACCGCCGCCACCACGACAACAACAACAGGCACAAGCGCAAGCTCAATCACAAGCACAAACACAAGCACAAACACAGGCACAAACCCCAGCTTCAGAGTCATGCGGGAATTGCATGGGGTGTCAGCTTTGCCCCGCTGGGAGACAACATTTTGCCGCGCAATCGGCCGCTGTCGATAGGCTAGACCGCCATACTCAACAGATCCTGTACACTATGCATGCCGCGCAGCAGCAGCAGCAGGCATGGTGGGGGCAGCAACAAATGATGGCTGACCAGCAATGGAGAACGAAGAATGCTTGGTATGAAAGGCAGGTGCAGGAGTGGGACAGGGCGGAGGAGTGGAGGCGGCACAAGAGTCGACCGTGGGTTGCGCGTATGTGGACTGGGGGCCCGGGAGGTGCTTAAAGGTTATAATATGCCAGTGTTCTGAATCTTATTGGACCCAGTGGTACTTACGATGCTGTTACATAATGACAATAATGAATAATGCCCGTGAATACCTGGCTCTTGGTTTGATTTCAAAACCCTTCAAGTTAGCACCACGTCGACGTTGGAATGTCGAGTCGTACAATCCCAAGCTCAAGTGGCTCTTGACTGGCGTGGGAGGACAATAACGCCGGAAGTAGCGGGGGAAATTTTCCCAAGAAAGATGTCTATGAGCTGGATGCTCCTCATACTCTTAAAGTTATAGGTGCGCATCGGCCCAGATCTCTCCTTCCGGGCCGGACTCGGCCGGAGTCTGGATAAGTAGCTTCAAGAAATTATTGGAGGTCGCTCCGGGGATGCTGGTGCCATGCACATTGGTAACGCAACGAGTGCTGTCTGGACTCGTCTGTAGTGTACATGGTAGGGGCTAGGTAGGTACAGAGACATTGTTTCAAAATTTCTGGACCAAAGCGGTTACCACTTTCTGTCCTTCTTTCTGGAACCGGAGGGAACCGGTCATCTAATATCGGTGCTGAAACATACTACTACTCAATGGCCTAGCAGTGGCTAGCACAGGTAAAGCTGTGAAACTCCTCCGCCGGTTGTGATGATCAAACGGGGCTGACAACTCGATTGGCATTTCTTTCTTCGAGACCACCACCTGGCCCGGATGTCTTCAATCCGCAGGCAAAACTCGTCGAGCTCTCTAGCGCGATATGCCGTGGCAAAGTCCCCTGGCGTGGACCTTTACAACGGCAGCACCTCACGCGACTTTTGCAACTCATTCTGGGGCGTCGGCGATGCGGGAGTCAACATCCTTTTCGCTCGAATGAGGGGGGCTGTACGCACGACAGACGAGTTGCGCAACTTCTGGAAGGAGAGGTGGGTTCGATTACTTTGCTTTCCGTTGCAAGCTCACATCCGGATGAAGGGCTATTATTGAAGAGGAATACGCTAACCGGCTGCTCACGCTGGCCAAGACGACGCTGGGGAAGGACGAGATCGGGTGCGTTGGTCTCTTCGTTGCTGGCCAAGACTGATCGGGCAGGGAGCTACGGAACTCACTCGACATATTGCGACTGGAGACGGAGAAACAAGGGGCCACACATCAGCAGCTGGCTGGGCAATTGAGGACGGAACTGGAGGGCCAAACGAAGACGCTGCTCGACAGACAGATAAACCACCGCAAAAATGTGCAAAGCCCATTGGAGAAGCGATTCAAAGTGAAACAGACGCAGGAGTCGTATGTGCTCAAAGCCCGCGAGAAATACGAGAGCGACTGTCTTCGTATTGCCTCTTACACGCAGCAAATCGAAGTCAACCCGGGAAAGGACGTTGAACGACTGAATCTCAAGCTCAAGCGTGCGCAGCAAACAGTGCAAGCAAACGAGAAAGACTTTGCAAGCTTCACCAAAACTGTTTTGGATATGATCCCGGCCTGGGAGAAGGACTGGAAAGAGTATTGCGATGCGTCGCAAGATCTGGAGGAGGATCGGCTGGATTTCATGAAGGACATCATCTGGATGTATGCCAACGCTGTTTCAACATTGTGTGTCTCCGATGACCAGGTGCGTCACTGACGACTGCGACGATCTTTTCTGATTTTTTACTCCCAGTCGTGTGAACGAATCCGGACTGTTCTCGACCAATTAGAGCCCGACAAGGATGTCGAAAACTTCGTTCATGAATACGGAACTGGAAACTCTATACCCGACCCTCCAGTATTCGTGCCATATCGTGACCAGCAACCTGATGGGTCCTCTCGACAAGTTCCTGGCTCAAGACCTGCCAACTTCAAACGCGCTTCTGCTCGACCAACAGCGAGCAATGATCGGGCGGCGGAATCCTCCCAACGGGCAGACCCGTCCCCTCCTCAGGCCCAACAAGAAGATATAGGCAGCAGTTCCCGCTCGGGAAGCAGAGTTGACGAGTATGTTGACCGGAGTATTGTCGATCCTGCAGTTGGACGTGCTCCGAATGGGACTCCTGTCATGGTGAATGGAAGTGGGAGTGGGAGTGGGAGTGGGCGGTCTCAACAGCAGCAACAACAGCAACAACCATCGTTACACCCACAACAACCACCGCCGTCTACCTGGCAACCCCCGTCAGAACCGCAAGAGCGAAGACTTTCCGCGCCACTTCCCCAACCCACCCAAGGGTCATATCACGAACCACCCCGAGCACCGACTCCACCGCCACAGGAACCTAATGGCGGTGGTGCTGGTGGAAGTGTGTTATTCTATGGTCTGTCTGTCTTTTTTGCGGGGTAACCCACATGATTTAACGGGTTTCGCAGTCAAAGCGCTGTACGATTATACGGCTTCGATTCCAGAAGAGTTCGACTTCCAGTCTGGCGACGTTATAGCGGTTACTTCGACGCCAGACGATGGTTGGTGGAGCGGAGAGCTGTTGGATGAGGCGCGGAGAGAACAGGGACGACATATATTCCCCAGCAACTTCGTCACGCTGTTCTAACGGCGGTACTTAGTTGCTCTATGACACACACCGGACCAGACTATGCATTATACCGGGGGTTAGCCTCGATGCTCGTACCATAAAATTCACTCGTCGTCGACGACGATTTACTAACTAATGTATCTATTATTTATCTCGTCATGTCTCAAGCGACAAGTTTGGTCTTGATGACTAAGCGTTCAGCAATGAACTCGACCAGTTTTAGATTACTTGGCTACTTCAATCCTTCAGCATGCTGGTCTTGGCTTGTTGCAACAGCGGGAAAGAGTTGCAAAGAGCCAGGGACTGGCGCCTTGTCGCCACAACCGATACAATAACAACCAGGGGAATAAGATCTGTGGGTCCCGGCAGTCCGGCTGATGTCATATTTTCTTTCGCTAGCTTGCTTTCTTCTTACCATCAAGGGTCCACAAAACGTTATAATATGTCAGGCATGTCCTGACCTCAAGCTTCCGTCTTTTGTCCTCTTTTCTTGTGGCTGGATTGAGCGCATAAAGGCCCTTGTCCCTTTATATCTCACCAACTCTTCTTCCACCACGGCTCCCTCAAACCCATAGTTGGCTCCCTATTCCGTATAGGCGGAGGCCAGGCCGACTTCGAAGCTGTCTATCATGGCGGCTGAGTTGAGCTTCGCTGCACAACTTGGCGAGGTGGACTGGGATTTGCCTTCGCCTTCGCCTCTCAATCCTCTTGACCTACCTCCAGCCATGACCACCAATGCTCTGGGCTTGGGGATGCCGTCTACTGCAACAGAAGAAGCAGTTTACTTTCCAGAGGAGGCACTTTGGCCATTAGAACCCGCGGTACCTGCTCCAAGTTCAAGCAACTTCTTCAGCCACACACCATTGAGGATAGCGACCTACGACGAGCAGCGCGAGGGCGGATGGGAGCACGACGCGCTGGGCCAAGCGACATACAAGCCATTCGGCAAAGTGGAGGAAATTCCAGAGGATGTGGACGTTGACGAGTTTCTGGCTGAGCAAACGAGTTCGCAGGGGGAATTACCGCCAGACTTTCCGCCGCCTCCCCCGCCGGTGCAGCGCACCATACCGCTTCTGCCTCTAGAATTTGTCGACAATTTGCGGTATAATTCAGACACCCCACCGCGTTTTCCAACGCCAAAGTCGCTCCCTGGGGTAGAACACTGTCCTGCTGTTCCACAGTATTCACAACACCTCATGTCGCTCTCATCGGGCTCGGCTGCCGTGCTCTCGTTACATTCGGTACGTGTTGGTTGTCATCTCGCTTGAAGTTGACGGACATCGCTGACGACCACGATCAGAAGCTTGCCGCGCAGCGGAAACCCGACTCCGCTGCACTCGCGCTTTGTGAGGAGATCATTCTCGCGCTGGAGGCGGTCAGAAGCGCGCTGGAACGCCGGATGGAAGTGGTCATCAGCACGGCCAAACACGACCTGAGGCTGCTTTCTCTGACACGGTGCGTGGTTCTTCGCTTGCTTTGTCACTCGCGGCCTGACCTGAATTTGCCAAGGACGCTCCAAAAGCTGCACAACCTTTCTTCGCTTTCGACGAGTGTGGGCGGGCTCCGGCCACACCAAGTGACGCGGGTCCGCGGCCTGCTCGAGCAGCATCGCGCCAAGTTTTTCGATTTAGCGCGGAAATTCAACGTCCGTGTTTCCTGCCAGTGTCAGCTTTCTCGACTGACTTTGTTTTCCACAGAAAACTTTCGAACGACTTCATATCCGAACCATTTACAACGAGATTCAACGACACGCCATGGAGATGAAAGCGAAACGACGGCCACGACTTGGCCAGGAGAATATTAATGATTATTAATGTGTAGTTTAGAGCTTGACGAACACTAACTAACGAATCGTATCGTGGAGTACAAGCAAGTTCGGTCACAAAAGGAATACAAGCAGAACAAAGAATACGGTCAAATTCTCCATCAACCTTTCTTTCGTTGGGGGTAGCGACGGCCACGACTAGCCACAAGAATATTAATGATCATTAATGTGTAGTTTAGGCCTGACGAACACTGACTAACGAATCGCATCGTGGAGTACAAGCAAGTTCAGTCACAAAAAGGATACAAGCAGAAAAAAAAGTAGAGTAGAATAATACATTGGTTAGGGTCAAATTCTCGATCAACCTTTCGTTGGGTGGTAACGACGGACGCGTATTTAGCGAGCGATGCGACATGGTTGGGCCGGGCGCACCGTTGGGTGGCCTGTTGGGTGGCCTGTTCTAGCCCATCCCGTGGCGCAACAGCAGACGCCATCAGGCGAGTTGCAACCAGCGAAAAATCAGCAACTTGGGTGGCCATGCAAGATGGCGGATGGGAATTGTCATCGGTCGTTGGTCTCCTCCGGAAGGTCGATCGGGGAAGTGAAACTCATAGCATAGTGGTGCACCCGCCCGTACTGGGGGGCAGACGCGTCGTCTACATAAATCGGGACCCCATCCACCATGACCGGGGTATTGGCAGCGGGATACCGGACTGAAGTTGAGGTCGAGGCCGTAGGCTTGCGCGAGGCTCCGTCCCAGACAGTAACCGTCTCTTCGGAACGTGCCACGCCAGAAGAGGGACGATGTTGGTGGTGTAACAACTGGGCTTCCCTGTCTCCCGCTGGAGGGGAAGGGCTGTCCTCGTAGCCGAGTGGTTGTGGCGGAGGGCGCGAGAATGAGTGGATGGATTTAGGTGAGGATATGGGAGTCTCGTGGTGTTCATAGTCAGGGAGCGGGGTTGCAACAGCGGCCCGCTTCGAGTTTTGACTCGGCAGGCGAGCTTTGTAGCCGGCTTCAGACGTTATTGAGCGGGGGAAGAAGATCTGCACAAGCTGATTGGCTTTCTATTCGCGTCCTCGGGCAAATCGGGCTTACGAGCATGGTAATAGCGGAGCTGATGAAGCAGCCAATGCCTCCCGTCATCAGAAATATATCTACAACCACATGAGACGGCGGCCGGATAAGATAGTGCATGCGTACCTGACCAGAACGGACTAGACACAACCAGAAAACGCTTCTGGTCGACCAAGGCATCCAACGCGAGGGTCAACAGCGGCACTGTAAAGAGGAAACGCTAAGGAAATAGTTAGGTACCACTTCGGCTCCGAAAAATAGACACCCACGAAGACAACACGGATGCACTGCAATCAGGTAAGAAAAAGAAGCAGGATAACTGAATGTGAGTACGAACGTTGAGGTGGTAGAATGTAGAGAGTCGCACGACCACATCTGGGACGGCCCCCTCGGCTTTCACGCTCCGGATAAAGCGCGGGAAGTTCCACAACACATATAGAAAGCAGACAGTCGTAAACGTTCCAGCGGAAGCTCCTGCGGTGAATATCCAAGCCTCTGTCTGCTCCCATTGTTAGAGCGAAGGGTCAGATGATGGAGCACTTGGGGAACTTCACCGTTTCAATATGATGTCGTTTCATTAACGTAGTCAAGGGCATGCCTATGATCGCGATCATACTCCCTAAGAGCGAGAGCATTATGACCCGGGAAACCCAATTTGAAAAAAAAAGTTAACGGACCAATGTACCAAGCCCGAAATTCCCAACTAGAGAACCATTCACGTTTCTTGGGACCTTGATGGAGAAGGAAAACCCAGAATGTCAGCTCTGTGAATTGGTTTGAGCGAGCATCGGACTAGGACGATTAATCCGGCGACCTTCGAGGTGTGTTACACTACGGGATGATGAGCGATTGGCATCTACCAAGACATCACTTACAGCTCCAGTGCCCAAGCAACGCTCAGAACGAAGTAAAGGGGTACCATCCACCGGATGTGAGATTTTTGCCAGAGGGCAAATGGTCGAGGAAGGACTGTTGCGTGAGTTGAGCAAACATTTGTGGCGGGTCAATATAAACACACTCTTTCCATGAAGAACGAAGGAGCCTAAAGTGCCCGGTTAGTCAAGGCAAATGAAAGACGACTGCAACGCGCCTTCTTGATATTTAAGCGCAGCCATCGCTACGCTGAAGACCATCAAGAGAGGTACCGTAGCAAAGTACGAATATCTGAGCAAGACGTGTGAGTCGAGAGATATGGATCGATAGCATTGCGACGAACGTCATGACCCGTTTGAAAGCACCGGGCTGTCGTCCCGAGTCCCATCGTAAGCACTGGAAGCAAAGGAAAGCAATAGTCGGTCATTAGCATTCCACCGTGTTCGACCGCGAGCAGACCTTGAATTTGTCGTAATTCCAGATGTGAATGAGCATAAAGACGAAGAACTGGACGTTCTAAGTGTCAGAAATTGGTTGGTGAAGCGTCCAACTACGCACAGCGACGGCCAGAAGGGCCCAGAGGAGATAGGCTGAAGGAGACCCGTTGCTCATAAAGGGTAAGGCAGCCCTAACGCGGGAAACGAGAGCGGCGCAGCCAGTTTGCAGTCAGGTCGAGGAGGGAAAGAGAGAGAGAGCGAAAGACCAGGCACGGGAACGTTTACGTATATTTCCAATCGGCTAAGCCATCAAAGCCTGATCAAAGACAAAAATTTGAGAGGAAAAATCACTCGTCCTACATAGACATTGCCTAGACATGGAAACCAATGCCAAGTTCAATGAAGGGTCTATAGCTTCCATGGCGTGGTATGAATGTGGAGAGTACTACAGATGGACAGTTGAGTTATCAATACCAGTCCTTGACGCCGATATATAGAGCTGCGTCAGTTTCCCAAGAGCCCACAACGCCCCCTCACGACGGAGACGATCCAATTTCCGCCATCTATATGCTCACACGACCATTAGGATGTGTTGTCTCGGCGTATAACAAAAAGGGAAGCGAGCACCGACTTTCACAGGAAATGTCCCGAATCAGACAACGGCAATAAGCTGAATCGGGATATGCCGACATGGAGGATCACCTGTCTATTCCTCGTTGTCAAAAAAGTCGTCTTGCTCGTCAAGTTCCATCATAGCGTTCTCCTGCGACCCTGGCTTGTCGCTTGGAACCCCTTCCCAGTCGACGCCACCGCCGCGCGAATCAAGATTCAACTCGGGTTCCGCAGCCATTTCACCAGTTTCCATCCGTTGTCGGACCCATTCGCGGACTTGTTCCCTTCCGGTATCAACCGATGGTTCAGAGCTCTCTCCTTTGCGTAGCTCGGGCGGGAATAATGAGATGTACTTCTTCGTTTTGGGATAGTGCTAACACGGGCGGTTATGAATGACCTGCCAATGTCGCCGACAACTTACCAGGATGTAATTAAGATCTACACGGAGTGTATGGAGTGCCTCCTCTGGGACTGGATGTTGCTTCTTCACTTGCGTCAACTTCCGAAGTACCTTTTGTCGCTCTAATGACTAATCAGCTAAAGAAACAACTCGACAAGGGCACACACCGAAAAATTTGACTTTGTGATATCTGACCGCCATCGTGCGCTCTTTCTTGCCACGCTCAGCAGCTGCCAGGTCTGTTTCAAGGGCCTTGAGCCTTCTCTCAGTTTCGGCACGAACATCACCAGCAAGATTATCCTAACAATGGTCAGAAACCAGTTATTGGAGAACTTTCGACCACGTACTTTGGCCAGAAGTCGTCTCGTTTGTCTCAACGATGCCTTGATTTTCTGTAGACCAGGTGTCGCATTTGCTTCTTGCAATGTGTGTTTGGCTCGATGTTTGTTGGCGTGCTTTTTCGATTTTCCATCTTGTCGTGGCTTCGAGGGGCCAGCAACTGGTCCACCTTCCTTCCTATTAGCTTTCCTTGAATCTGTTCGTGTTGGTCCCATAACCAGGAAACAGTAAATGGGAGTTTGAGACAGATGAGTGTGACGAACACGTGACACTCAAAAAGTAGATTCCCTTTTCCACACTCTGAGCATGCGCAACCTCTCGCTCAGTTCAGAGCACATCACCACACTCCCGGACTCTAAAATTTGCAAAACTGCCCTCGATCTCGACGAAAATGTCCTCTACGCGGTCTCAGAAAGTCGCACTGCTGATTCTCAGGTGGAAATCAAAGTCTGGAAGATCCCTGACACAGGTCCATCGACGGTAAGCCATATAGCGGGCGATGTAGTCTCTTTATCAACTCCCCAATAGCCAGAAATGTTAGCGATGTTCATTACGGCTCCTTCTTCCAACGAAAGCGAGTCAGATCAAGTTGCCGAACTACGGTTCCTCCCCGAGCGGCGCAGACTTTGCATTCTGGTACGCGGAGGCGATATTGCGATGGTACCGATAGATGATGCGGATCCAATCGTGCGTATAACTCTTTATGGAGCCTTGTTGTCAGCTGAATGACTGCTGGAGGTAGCCTGAAGTCGAAGGTACAATCGAGTCAGGGATCTTGGCCGCATCATGGAGTCCGGACGACGAGCTTCTGGCCATTGTCACCGGTTTGTTAGCCACAGGTAACTACAATCACCGACTAACGCGTTGCAGGCGAGCGAAAGTTGACACTGATGACTTCGACATTCGAGATGCTTTCCGATACATTTCTGTTCACGAACGAGTTGGGAGAAGGTATGCGTTTGGTGTCATACTGCGCGTTTATTTCAATGGTTCTAGACGCACAGGTCAATGTTGGATGGGGATCCAAGCAAACTCAATTTCACGGGTCCCTCGGCAAAGCCGCAGCCCAGGCCCCTACTCAGAAAACTGTGGGTACCAGTTCGGACGACGATCAACGCACGCGTATTAGCTGGAGAGGGGATGGTGCTTTCTTCGTTGTTTCTGCGCTGTCTACAGTCGAGAGCCCGATACCTCGTCGTGCTCTTCGTGTCTACGACCGTCAAGCTGTCCTTCAATCAACCTCAGAACCGGTAGCCGGTTTAGAGCACCCTCTTTCCTGGCGACCATCCGGGAACCTTATTGCGGGAACCCAGAGGTTTGGATCCCAAGAAGGGTTAGGAGCAGGCAACGAAGGCAGACACGATTTAGTGTTCTTTGAAAGGAATGGGCTAAGACATGGGGAATACCGAATACGACAAGAAGATATCTCGATACCAGTAAATCGCACTGATGCGGAGCGACGACGATGGGGCTACAAAATTAAGGAACTGAATTGGAGTTCCGATTCTAATGTTTTGGGCATCTGGATCGAAGCAGACGATAGGGATATACGTGCGTCCTGGTCTAACATTACTCATCTTCTAAGTTGACGACTCTAGTTCAACTCTGGACAACGGGCAACTACCATTGGTATGTTATCCTTGTCTTGTGGTTCTGCTGTTGACGTAGTCTTCAGGTACCTCAAACATGAAATGGTCGCCCCGGCATTATCGGCGGAGCCTGCAAGGTTTACTTCCATCGCGTGGCACCCTGAACACTCGTTAGAGATCATCCTGACTACTTCAAGTGTGTCCAGTCTTGCTGACGTGATTCTTCATTTCCCTGATACTTCCAAAGCCCAAATTATTCGGCGGACATTGATGCTCGAAACCTGCACATCATCAACCAAACCTCCTATCGATTCCGGAACTGTAGCTGTTTTAGATGGAGGTGACCTCTTTATATTGTTCATGTGCTTTCCGGCTTATGACAACCCAGCCAAGATTCTCCTGACGCCCTTCCGTGCCCAAAATGTTCCGCCGCCGATGTCGTCCTTCCAACTCACCCTCAGCAATATTTCCTCTCCAGCCCGTACTCCGGTCCACGTGACGCTTGGACCGCTCGACGAGACCCTTGCACTTTTATGGGAATCTGGTGAAATTGAGCTCTGGGAGTTGCAAACGCGTATTACACCTGGGCCAGGGAAAATCATGTCACCAATTCGAAAGTTCTCTTCGACCGCCGCAGGACGACAGCGTCAAATCGTCATCCCGCAATGGCCAGGAACAGTGCTTCTTCTCGGGAGCGGTCGGCAAGGCCACGATCTTGTCACTGTCGTGCGGACAATCGAGGGAGAGCCCTTGACGATCGTTGAAATGCCCACGTCCAGTGGCCGATTGATACCATGCACGACTGAAATTGACTCTGTAATCTGGCAGGCTGGTGGCGGAGAACTTTCTAAAGGTGAAGTTCGTTCATTGACTTCTTAATTCTGTCTATTGAGTCGTGCATCATTCATTTTAGTCGACCTATTGGCCCGGTCTGTCGGTCGCATTAATGACGCGTCATTCCCGGAATTCTGTCCCGCAGCTCAATGCATCTCTGGGGCCGCGGCGGACAGCGACGTTGTCATTGGTCTCGGTTCATCGGGAAAACTTTACGCGATTCCACTTTCCACGGGAGGGTGCCGAGTTATCTCAGCAAATGCAACTTCTTATGTTGTCGCGTCTGGCTTCCTGATCTACACCACCAGCGCACACGAGGCAGTTTTTGTCCCAGTCGCATCTTTATCGGTTGTTGGTGACAAAGATTCAGAGAGTTGGGAGAAGCGACGCATCGAGCGAGGCTCTCGGATTGTGGTTGCGGTTCCCAGTGCCATGGGCCTTGTGTTACAAATGCCTCGGGGGAACCTTGAGACGATCAATCCACGGCCACTGGTCATGGAAGTCGTTAGACAGGATCTAGACGCGTATGTCCCCTTATCTTGGCTTTCAATTGGCTAAGAGTTGAAGGCGCAATTATCGCAAAGCCTTCCTGGCCTGTCGCAAACACCGGATTGATCTCAGCGTTCTAGTGGAGCACGACCATGCCGCATTCTTGGATAACTTGAAGTCATTTGTCGAGCAAGTTCATGAGGTGGATCATGTAAACCTCTTTTTGACGAGTCTCGGGTCAGTTTTCCTTCTCGTCTTCATCGACGACTCTGATAATTACATTAGACAGAGTACACAAAGCCCAGAGAAGGTTTCTGCGCTGTGCGATAGTCTTCGGACAGAACTTGAGGCGAAAGACCTGACGAAATACGTCAACTCCATCTTGACTGCGTATATAGTAAAAACCCCAGCAGAGCCTGAGGCCGGGTTGACGCTGTTACTTCGCTTGCGAGGTCTGTCTATCGGACTTTGCGGAGTTTATATTTCCTGATTCTCAACAGACACAGACCCTCACCTTGTCGAAGATGCAGTCAAATATATCATCTTTCTCATGGATGCGAACAAGCTCTTCGACACTGCGCTAGGGATGTACGATTTCTCGCTAGTGCTCCTAATCGCCCAGCATGCCCAGAAGGTTGAGCCTTCTTTGCTTAACTCCGATTCTGACCTCATCATCCTTTAGGACCCTCGAGAATATTTACCGTTCTTACGGGAGTTGCGGTCCCTTGAGACGCATTACCAGCGGTTCCGGATTGATGACTATCTAAAGCGGCCGGAACGAGCCTTGAGGCACATCCACCTCGCAGGTTAGTTTGTTTCTCCTCTGATGTTTCCTACAGATCAATGTTTCGCCAGGAGCAGATCGTTTCGAGGAGGCTGTTAGCTACATCGAGAAACACCGGCTACACGAACTGGCCATATCGATCTGGAAGGGCACGGATCAGTACAATGCAAGTTGCCCATCTCCTTTCTTTCCTTGGTTGACTTTTCGACAGAAAGTGCTTGAAGTCTACGGTGATTGGCTTTTCGAGCGTCGCGATTTTAGGCAAGCAGCGTCAAGTAAGTAACGCAAAACACCAATATTCAGAATAACACCGCTACAGTCTACATTCAAGGAAATGCGCTATCAAAGGCGATGGTGGCACAAGAGAAAGGGCTCGACTGGCAAGAGCTGTTCGACCTAGCGAGCCAAACGGGCGTGTCTGAGGAAGATGTTGTCGCTATGGGTTATCGTGTTGCGGGTATGTCCATTTTTTACATGTTCTCCGTACTGACCAATGCAGAGGATCTTGTCTCGAAGAAACGACCAGCAGAAGCTGCACGTGTCCTACTCGACTACGCCCAAGATACAAGAGAGGCGGTCATTGCGCTTGCTCAAGGGAACCTCTTTTCGGAGGCGCGGAGAATAGCCACATTGCACGATTCGCCAGAATTGTTGGTGGATGTTATCCATCCAGCGGCGCTTGATAGTAGGACACAGATATCGGAAGAGCTCGACGAGATGAAGGAGCAGCTTCGGAAACAGTTGAACCGAATACGGGAACTGAGGGTGAAGAAGCTTGAGGAGCCGGGTTTGTGCAATTTTCTTTCCAGTGGATTACTCTAACTTGACTTTATTAGATGCATTCTATGGCGCTGAAGACGATGTAAACCTGCACAACGTTGACGCCATGACCGATATTTCTATGGCCCCGACAGCATTTACGCGGTACACAGTCGCACCGACAACAATCTCCCGATCGTCTACTAGGAAAACATCGCGCTCCAGGCAGAAAAGCGAGCGCAAAGCGGGCCGGAAGGGTACCGTGGAGGAGGAAGAGTACCTCCTCAAGTCTATCACGAAGCTTGTCGGGCGTTTCAATGCTTCACAAGGTCAGTTTCGCTGCAGCCTGGTCTTGTAAACTGACTGTTCCGGCTAGTCGATGCAAGACAGTTACTTCCGCATCTCGCCCAGTTCACACCGGAGCATGTAGCGGAGGGCGTCGCGCTGCAAGCGGAGTTGTCAGAGTTTGAAGCGGAGTTTGCCGCTGCGGTGGATGAGATTTGGACACTACCAGCAAAGCCGGCGTTGGAGGCGGGTGTCCCCGAGCTGCCCGCGAAGCCTAGCGATCCTCTGGAGAAGGTGCCAAAACCTGATTCGAAGGGACCAGATGAGTGGCGGATGAAGTTGCTTGTACGATGACTGGAGAAGAATGTACGTTGATGGATAAGTCAAAGTTTGAATTTGACCTTTGAAGGCAACATCTACTTTACATCGTATGATAAGTTCACTTTTAACTAAGTCTAGTTACACTGCTCGTCAGATGCAGTTTGGAGTCTGTAGGAGACTATAGGTTTATGAGTTTGCAGAAAGGATTGTGAGTGATACCTATATTCTTGACCCTTACAGATAAATGTTATAAGTCGCCATGAAGTCGCTCATATAAGGTTTACTTGGGCAACTTGTCAATGGTGACCGCCTGCAAAAATCCATGCATTCGTTCAAGTTGAAACTTGATGTTTCTGCCATTTTGGGCACGCAAATCTATCAAGTTTCCGACAGGGTTTCTATAGCATATTCTCTGGCTAACCCTCGACAAAGTGCGTCTGCTAGCTAAGTGTAAATACTTGTACACTACGCACTAGAGGTCCGGATTACAATAGAATACGTGCCTATGAAGAGATTGGACAACGCTTACTTGATTCAGACAGGAAATGCCAGGCCAGATAAACTTAAGCAGGAGACAAAGATGAACTCAAGAAGAATACCAAACATTGGACACCAGGAACTCTTCAATTCAAAAAAGAGACATGAATGTAGATTAGATTTCGCTAAGATGACCGTGACTCATACCAAGATTCCAGGGTCACGTGCATTTACAAAAGCGCCGTCACCATTTCCCGGACCTTCTCCTTGTCCAGATACGCCTCCAGATTCTCCGCCAACTCGTGCTTCACCTTCGCGACCCGCATGACACCCTCCAAACCGAGCTTGTCCGCCTCGGCGTCCGTGAACGGCTCCTTGCGGAGCGCAAGCTCCATATAGGCGCCGGCGACATCGAGGTCGATGGACTTGCCGAACGCGTGATAGCTGGTGCGGGCGAGATGAATTTTGTCCACGGCAGAGGCAGTCTTCGCCAGCTGTTGTACTGCGAGACGGAGGACCTTGGGGTGATGGCAAGCAATGGGAAGGATCGCTATCCAATCTTCCGCGGTCTTGCAGTCGTGTTCAGTATATTCGCTAGAGCGGGCCTTTGAGTCGCAGACAAGTAAAAGAGTGACTAACATACGACGGGTAGAGCACCGAGAAGAACTGGTCGAGCATCTTCTTCGGCTGGTGCTGGTAGAACATGGGATACATGTCTTTCAACAAGAATTGATGGACTCGGTATTCGGTGCCTTGCGCCTGATTTAACAAGTCAGTACTCTTTTCTTTCTAGGCAGGGTTGGAACACCTTACCACAAACACGACCGTCCCATCCGCAAACCAGAATCGCGGGTGTCTTTCCGGCTTCACAGGGACATTCTCATCGAAATTGCCGTAGTAAGACTGCGAAGTATAGTTGCCCCATACTGGATATGCCGAAGGATGACTAGCCGTTTGCCATCCACCATAATAGTCTTGAGTTTGCGGGGCGTGTGGCTGGGGCTGACTCGAAGGCCACGTGAAAGGGCCCGCAGTGGGGATAGCCACTGGCTCGGGTGCGATGGTATGAGGAGAAATCTTGACGGTAGAAACTTTGCGTCTCGGGGCAACGATAGGCGAATGGGTCCGGGAAACAGAAGACTCAGAGCTTGACGACGACGATGTCAAAAGAACTGGGCGAATGGGTTTTGGAGCGGCATTGGGGTAGCAGCCGATCCCCTGGTCGTTTGAGACGGGTGCAGCTAAGACTGACGGCAAGGTTGGAGTCAGCGTTGGCGACTGGATGTGTTCAGAAGGAGGGTAGTGCCAACGGCTTTGAGAGGAAGAATGAGATTCGGGCATTGGCGGGGGTAGACTATTAGGCACGACCGGAGTAAGAGGAGCATCGACCGTAACCACTTGGGGAGAAGAATAGTCGTAGTATTCAGGTGAGGCCGCCCGTGACGGACGAAGAGAAACGTTGTAGCCGATTCTGATTCGGGATTGGGAATCTGATGGTGTTGCCTCAAGGGACGTTGCCTGGACCTGGCTGGCAAGGTCTGTAACCGACGCAACTGATGGACTGCGACGGCGGTAGGAGGTGGCAATTGGGCTGACATCTTCGTCGTGGCCGTTACCCACTGCGTAGGCTCTGTAGGGTGGAGAAATCGAAGCTGGGCTCTCATAGACCACGTATGGCTGCTCGAGTTCACCAACAACGGGTACGGGCGAGGGGGCGTAGCTGAACGGTGATGGGGGCTTGACGAGTTCTGGACTAGGAGTCGCGCCAACCAATACTGCTGAGCTGGAGTCAGACGAATGGTGACTTGAGCGCGAAAGCGACCGGCCACGTTCTGCGTCGACCAAATATCGAGCAGCACTTGACGGGCCTCGCGGCATCATATTGACTGGGAATAAAAAAGAGTGAGCGTCCTGCACAAAACGCGCCACTTTACCACACACCTTGTCGCTGACGATTGACGGACATGAGGGGCGAAGACAAGCTGGAGATAGGGAGGTATCAGGCAGTTATTTGTACGTCAACAGGCGCTTAGAACGCCCACAGACATTCGATTCGGAACAACGGCAAGTAAGGCGAGGAAAACGCGTGTTCCGCGCCTAATTCAAGCCGTGGCGCGTCCAGGGCCATGGGAGTCATTTCGGGGTCAACACGAGGTTGACGGGGAATGGAAGAGGACGGCAAGTTCCTGCTTTGTGTGACCTGACTCATTTGATGAGGTGATTTCCTTTCTATAGCAACGTCCAACGCTGTATCTGTACTTACATATTGAAGTTATTCATGGTCAAAATATAGGTAGCAATGGCCAATGCGCCAATGCGCTATTGGTGCGCTACATTGTCACAAGCAGTACTTAGGCGGTCGATAGTCCTGTTCTCATTCTGACTGCTTCACAACTGCTTCCACCACCACCACTCTACCTGTCTTCCACCGAGCGAACGATGCCATGAAATACAGCATGCTTGCCCAGCTTGAACCACGGACCACCACTAGGCTGATTGGGGCATCAAAAGTTGACTCGGTAATTCCATCACAGGAAAGGAATACGTGGTAGAGCTGTTCCCGGCTGTGCTGCATGTCGACTGGTGTGCCCACTTTCTCAAGACGAGCAGGCTTCGAAGCCTTGAAGTCAGCATCGATGCCAAAATCGTTCAATAGGGACAAAGCTGTCAAGTGATTCCTGTCGCTTGAAACATATTCATTTGTGGGTACTATAGTCAAGGAATTATTTCATCCAATCCCAGTTTTACAAGGGTGCCACTTGGGGTTTGATTCAGGCAGACGATATTCCAAGCTGCCCAAACAAAGTTTTTGGAGAGGTTTTTCAAGTCCAGAAGAACTGCGACACGGCCATAGGATGAATCTTGGCCACGCAGAAGTGCCGAATCTCCACTCCGCTGCTAACACGCGGGTATTTGGCCGCGATGAACATCCTCTCTGGGAACCTGAGGTCCTCGTTTGGCTGGATGCCAATGATAAGACGGCGAAGCGTCTTTGATCCCACAAGCATCGTTGCCCTGCACAGCATCTGCATTGCCCCGGCATCGTCAACATGAACAGCAGTGCCGTCTGGCTCTGTTGCGTTGAACTGACTGATGCGGGAGGTGACAAGAGTGAATGTTTGGAGGCGGGGAAAGCGCGAGATAGTCAGCGCTGGCGAGTCGTCTGCAATATACCAGCAGTCGTCCTTTGCCTGGGCTTTTTCGGCCAGAGCAAGATGGAGGAGGTTGGGGAGGAGCTGCGAAATCCGATTGAACGCGAAGATGGCTTGGAGCTCCGGCTCCCGCGAGGAGTTGAAATGGATGTTTAACACCGTCAGACTCGCTGCATATCGCGCGAGCGGAGGAGTGAGGTCACCAATATCAGTCTCGATGCGCTGTAGATGGCGCTCGATTTCCACATTGGGTGAGTGCGTTTTGACCGCAAAGAGGTAGGGCAGGACGGTCGCAGGATCCCTTCCAACGGGGTCGGACATCCGCCGCAGGAAGTGGCGGTCTAGTGGGAGGTACTTGCTTTGCAAGTGCAAAATGCGGAGTCGCGGTTGCTGGAGAAGCATACAGCGAATGTCCTCGAGCGAGGTTTGGGCACCACCCACGAAGACAATTAACCTGAAGGGGCATTGCATTCGGGAGATAGCACCAAGGAGCCAACTGGAATGATACGTGGCGGCCTCGTAAGGCAGCTCCAGCCATAGTATATTAACGCAGCGCGTTAGGGCGAGAAAAATCCTATCCGCCTCTTCCGGGTACACTTCTGCGGTTGTGGGTGACACCAGCCTGACTCGCTTGACTCGGATGGCGAGGTCGGGACGACGCCGAATTACCCGACACCAGTACAAGATGACTCGCGGAGAGCACCCGACAAGGTAGACGTCTTCGTATAGCTTCCGCTGAGCGGGAACCCGGAAAGCATATGACGTCTTGCAGAGATTGAGTAGCGAGTCCCGGTTGTTGGTTTGTTGGCATATCAAGAGGAGGAGCTCGAGGGGGAGCCGTGGATGTTGCACCGAAGACATATGTGCTTTGATATTGCAGCCCTGAAGCAAATAAAACGCGTGCTGCAATGGCAGACGCTGCCACTCAGTTTCTGAAGAGGCGAAACCCAGCTCGACGGCGCAAATGTTTAATGCCAATTGGGTATCTGGGTACAAGCTACCTAGTAATGCGATGAAGTCAACCCGAGGTATAAATTGAAGTGGTAAACACACCAGAAACCAGCCTCTAGTTATGGATGGCCTTGAAAAAACAGAGACAGTGTGACCTACTAACGTGTGAGGGTGACTGATCGTTCTGGACAGCGTTACTTACTAATCAAACTATGGGCTTCCTAAAACTAGTAGCCACCAGGGAAAAATGGCTTCAGTCTGTGTGGGCGAAAAGAGAAACGCGCCAGTGTGACGCGAGGCAAGTATATGCGCGATATTGTTCCGCAAAGAGTTTGTCTAAGACCATAGCTCAAATAGCACCTCAGACACGGCTCCAAACTCTTCTCCTTCCTTCTACCCACTACGATAACGGTAAACTTGCCAAACCGGAAGGATGAGATTTCCGCCAATCATCACCGCAACTCTTCTCTTGCTTGTGGCTGACGCCTTTGCCGTGGTTCCAATCCGGAAGCCTCAGGTGTCTTCCTATCTATGCTGTCAGACTCATATTGACCGCAACGATAACAGAACCGCCAAGCAGGGTGTCCCATTCCTAAGAATATCCAACCCATCCTTCGCCTGTTCCAGAATGACATCGAGCAATATGGCTACGGAGCCTCTAACTCCGGTATTCAAGCGGTCTTAACCAAGCAAGGCTTCGAATTCGACGGTGTCGTTGGCCGGGCATTCACCCGGCCAGAGGAAGGCACCGTCCCGCTCTTCCGTGTGTTTAACACACGCACGAAGGCAACCTTCTACAGCACCAATACGAAAGAACGAGATGCAGTGTTGGCGGAAGGCGGATATGGGAAAGATAAAGGGAAGCTGAAAGACCAAGGTGTCGTTGCATATGTCCTGCCCCGACCTGGGTGCGGGACAAGGCCATTATATCGACACTACAACCCGCTGACGGAGGGCTGGTTCTTGACCACGGATCCGTTGGAGAGCGAAGATGCGGAGGTCGACAAGGGGTACGACGAGGCTGAAATCATCGGTTGGATGTATGGACAGTAGACGAAGAATTCAAAACGCATGTACTCGTTGACCAGGAAAAGTAGAATGTGAATCATTATCTTGCACATTGTTTCAATGAGTTTCAGCAAGATAGTGCTTGGGAGAAGTTCACCGGGGAGCTTGGATCTTGTGCAGACCAATTTCCGCCATTCGCTTGCCGTATACGTGTGTTGTGTAACACCGGCAAGTACCGAAGATGCGCCGGGTTGTTGTGAAGTGCTTGTGCGACAATTTGAGGGCAGGAGACCGTTTTTCACTGGTTTATAGCAGATACCTTGAGGTGGTTGTGGAAGCTTGGTATGAGTCATGCCATCAATCCATCTTTGCTATTGACCACAACCTCAACTTCGCAGACCCTGTTCGAGGGGGATTCCTTGTGTATCATGAGACCACTTTCGTATCCTTTCCGACATTCATTGCTTCAATTCGTCCCCGCCAATTTACAAACACAGGACAGCGACAAACGAAGCCAACTCTCTTTACTTGATTACCGCCAACCCTTCTTCGCTGTTCAAATAATTCAACATCGCCATCCACAAAAGAGAATCCTGACCTGTTCAACTGTGTTGCGGATAGTCCAAACCTAGACAAGACAATGAGCGAATGGAGACACTCTTCCGCGCCTACGCAACTAGTGACCCCACGCATCGCTCACGAATGAAGTCATCTTTGCGGTCGATGTGGTATAAAAGCTCAGCAAGTTCGTCGAATCAGCAATACCAACTTCTGCATCTCATCCAACCAACAACTTCCCACTCAAACAACAACAATGTCTGCCGCCGACAACACCGGAAAAGACCCCATCCGCGTCGCTGCTGGGCTCAAGGGAACGCTTGCGCGCGGTGATGTCTCTGATGAGGCGAAGAATAACGCGCAAGAGCGTTTGAAAGACATGGGCTGCGAGGAGTACATTGGTGTGTATTTCGTTGTTTGTCTTCCACTACTTGCTTATCCTATTTGTAGCGCACCCCGAGAGCTCTTCTGACGTCCGCGAGAAGAGCGAGGAAGAGAAACACGAGAACCATGTGCAGGGCGGTTACAAGGCGACCTTGAAGAGTACGTCGTTCGAGTGTGTCGCTCCTTCTTCTACTGACCCTGGCGACAGACCCTAATGTGTCGGAGGAGGCCAAGGAGAATGCCCGCCAGCATCTTGGGTCGAGCGAAGACAAAGAAGTTTAGTTGATTTCAATCTAAATGTACCATTATTGTGTATCGAAAGCAGTTCTTTATTGTACTGTAAGCGCTGTGTCGTAAGGTTAGGGTTAGCCAGGCAGGCTAACAAAAAAGAAAGGGCCCCGCCTAGCCGAGTGGCCGTGGCAGGACTGGAAAATATTGAGACGGTGCATGAACCTAGGTGGGTCGCTGTCTGTTGATCACACGTGACCCCAAGCCTTTCATCCTGATACAGTACTTACTCAAATTCTATCTCCAATCTCTACACTCGTCGTTTGGTCGATAAAACGGACGACAGCGAAATCTGTTCACACTCTTCACTACAAGTCAAGTTGACTCTCGATTTACTGCCTGGCTCTGCTCTCCCGAAACGACGTCTAGTATAACAGCCTCACATTGGAATCAAGTCTGAACATTGTCATGCTTCCAGAAGCTCCGCCGTTCCCCTTCATAGCGCTCAGAGCATGAAATCTGACACTTTGCTGGCGCTTCCTTCAACCACAAAAGGTACGCAACGACGGGATTCCGTCCTCCGAGTCTTGTCTAATACTCGCACACAGCCTCGCATACACTGTCGGAGGCAACCAATACCAAACCGCAAACCCCAAATGCAGACCAAAGCAGTATGATGAACGATTCGAATGAAATTTTACGCGCTCATAATGGGATTTGACTGCAAGTTCGAGGAAATGGCTATCGACAGTGTGTGATCCTGCTTCCATTCAAGTCTCCGCCCACACAGCACTGCGCTGCAGCCTTGCGCTGGGGTTAAATATACAGATCTTTTTCTCAGCGCTAACTCAGTAGGAAAATTTGGTAGAAGCAATGCCCCCGTTAAATATAGTAGTATGCAGAAACAGGAAAACAATTACCCTCAGCTCGGCTTATTTAAACTATTTTTGTGTTTGCGCCAAAGAATCTGGATCGGCAAAGCCTGCCGACACTCGAGAACGGCGTTATGCGGCCACGTGGCGTTACGCAACTCAGCAATGTAGCCTGTTGGACACGGTGTGGCTTGTCAACAACCCTCGCGCACGTCGACACAAAAGCGCTATGTTCTGGCTCTTCAGTCTCTTCAGACTCCCTTATTACCCAGGAAGGATGCCATACGCGAACTCTCTCAGACCGACTGTCACAATTCCCGGCCTTCTCACCTCCTTCGACATCGATCTGGACCTAGAGACATGGCTCCAGCAGCTCGAGTCGGTCGCGCAACGCGATCATCTGGAGAATCTGGACCGATGCATTGTCACGAGAATCGACCAACTCGCAATGAACACCACAGAGGACAAAAAAGCGCTCCACGAAGCCATCGGGCTGGAATTCCATTACCGAAGCCCCAACCTCACAAGTCATATGAATGCAAAAAAAGATGATTGTAGGGCGGCGTTAATTCACCGATATCCAAAGCCTCTAGCCGCTGAGGAACGTACTCCTTCAGCAGAGTAGGTTGTCTAATCACCCATAATTATATCAAGAATAATGATTCGATAGGGCGCGACGATCTTCCCGACTCTTCTCCAGCGGAAGTGTTCCTGCCAACGACCAAGTTTCAATCCGCAACAGCTACGACGGCCTGTACATTTATACGAATAGACCTGATAGTGGGAAGCAAAGCAGGGTCGACTACTGTTCTACGCGCCACATCTCCTGCCCACTCACAGCATTTGGCTGGGATCACATCACAGCACTGGACTGCACCATTCTCGGCGTTGTCATTCATGAATATGCGTCCAACTATGCCTACTACACCCACATGTGCATATGGTTTGCAACAGTATTCTTCCTCGCTATCGAGCGCATATCCCAGAATCGAAACATGGGCCCTGGTTTCACAAGGGGAGGAGCAGCAGTCGAAAAGCCGGGTCTATTGGGCAGACATCGGCTGGTCAACCCTCAAAGTGCGCGCCTCCTCACCGGCAACGGAAGCGGGAGTTTTCAGAGGATGTGTGATAGCATTCGTCGCACATTGCAAGATGCTGGACAACCTACAAAGTCCATCGACGATTACATTGCTGAGCTCAAACGCGGCCTCGGAGACCCATGGAAGCGGGGCGCTCCTGTCATCGACACTGTAAGGGCAACCCCGGAGGCCTGAGAGCAAGGTCCTAGCAGGGGAGGATCCAAAGCGTGAACATTGGTAAGCAAATACAAATGAAGCTGACCTAGCAGGGGAGGATCCAAAGAGAAGAAACTCTAAGGGTCCGCCTGCTAGGGAGCTGACTATATACTGCTTGTCCGTAGCTGCCGCTGTCGGGCACAGAAGGCTTGGGCGGCGTCGCAGGCAAGGTCCCAGGGCGACCGTTGGGAGGGCGTTGACGGATCGGTGATTGTGCGGCACTACCTATTGCTGATTCTATGCAAAAGATGCTGGCAATTGCTTACCAGGCTAATGCAAAAGATGTCAGGCCCCTTGTATTTGCTGATTTTCTCAATGGAACTGATGCATATGACTAATTTTTTGACATATTATGTCAGATAAATCACCTTTTCTTCAGGCCGATGACTCGATATGTAATATTGGAGACTTGATAGGACAGAAACAAGGAAATAAATAATGGCTTAAGTAAGATTGATCTAACAGAATTCAGCCATCAAAAGCAGTGATGGCAATCAAAAATCGTTCCACATTAGTCAAAATACCTTATTGTCATCAATCCCATCAATGATATCATCCCCCAGGTGCTAAAAACACAGTAATACCTTTTTGAATAATATATCCTAGGCCCTTGCCATCATCTTTTGCATTAGCCTGGTAGGCAGTGGCCATCATCTTTTGCGTAGATGGAGCTATATGAGCTGTGTGCGGGCGAGATGGAGGGCCGGACCGGAGACGGAACCGGAGTCGGACCGGAATCGGAGGCGTCTCCGAGGGGCCGAAAGGGAGGTTCCCCTGACATCACCCCCCTTTGAATGCGGCGTCCCGACGCATAGACCGGAAACGGAATCGAGTCGAAGGTCGCAGAGGCGATGTGCCGTGGTTTGCCAGGGTACTTACGGTAGAACTCCGCGATTTTCTCCGGGGCGAAGACGCGGTCGAGCGGACCCACTGGTCGTGGCGACGCGTCGTAGCCTTTCCATCTGACGGCAATTCAGCCGTTTATACCTCACCCTTGCGTCCAAGATTTCCTCTACTTCCCACTCCGGGACTCCGTCCTCGAGGTCCGGAGGGGGCTGGTCGTAGCCGGGGCGTCCGTCGAAGGGGGTCGTCCTGGGCGAGCTCGAGCTTGACGACGGGGAAGACCGGGTGGAGCTTCGAGTAGCGCGGAGGAAGGTCGAGCTTGTAGGCACCTTTGCTGATCTCCTGACTATCTTGAACGGTCCAAGGCGGCGATGGGAGAACTTTTCCGAGGGGCGAGTCGTCCTGATGTCAGAGGCATCTAGCCAAACACGGTCGCCAACCTTAAACTCCGGAGACGGAGTGCGTCTCCGGTCGTAGTAGCGCTTGTACTCCTCTTTGGCCTTAGTGAGCGCGGCCTTGGCTTCAGCAACACCAGTGGCGATCCGGTCGCGGAACTCATTCACAGACTCCATAGCGGAACGGACTCCGGGTTCGAAGCCCATGCGCGGAAGCCGTCCCGTGTCCGTCATGAAGGGGACTTGCTGCGTGGAGGAGTGAACATGGTTGTTGTAAGCGAACTCCGCGGCCGGAATCAACTCATCCCAGTCGTCCTGCTGATAGTTGGTGAAGATCCGCAGGTATTGCTCCAACTCCTGGTTGACGCGCTCTGTCTGACCGTCCGTCTGTGGATGATACACGGTGGACGTGGCTGGCTTGATGCCGATTAGACGCCAAAGTTCTCGGGTGAAGTCCGCGATGAACTGCGAGCCGCGGTTGGAGACGTACTTCTCCGGAGTCCCATGGTGCTGCCAGACATTCCGGTAGTAGAGGCGGGCTGCCCCTACTGCATCGACCGTCGTATGACACTCCGAGAAGTGGGCGCGCTCTTTCCGAGGGTGTCAACGACGACCATGATCGCGTCATACCCATGGGCTTCGGGAAGCTCTACAATGAAGTCGACGGAGACGGTATGCCAGCGTTCCGGGGGCGTTTCCGTGGGGTGCAGTTCTCTGTGGGGCAGTCTCCGGAGTGCCTTGGTGCAACAGCACAAGTCACAGGTCGCAACATACCGGCCGATATGGCGAGACATCTGAGGCCACCAGTAGTTCCGGGAGACCAACTCCAGCACCCTCTATGGCTAGATCTATGCATAAAATGCTGGTGAGGTCCACAGAAAGCTATCCATAAGATATGGGTGTTTCACCAGAGACCTATAACTGAGACTTGTGACAGGAATTGTGACAGGAGATCAAAACTGATATTACACAACAGGATTAACAGATATCACTTATGTAATATCATATATAATATCCTTAAGTCCTATTTCTTCAGGCCGATGACCCGGTATGTAGTTAGGGGGACTGTGTGATAGGGAAAAGAGATTATCATCCTAATTGGGATGAAATTGATGGATCTCTATATAGCCATCAGAATCACTGATGCCAATCAAAAATGGTTCCACATCAAGGTATATATCTAGATGCCATCACTCCATCACTGATAACCCTCTCAGGTAGTCTAATAATAATAAATTCAAGGGCTGTTATATCACCTGTTAATCCCAGATATCCTCACATATTAGAAGGCTCGACCCATCTGGTCGAGCCTTCTCCAGATGGGTCGAGCCTTCTAACATGAAGAGAAGAGCATCTGGGCCTATACTGTGATAGTTGCTCAGATAATTCTCCAATAATTCTGAGACTTAGAGTATTTTTTTGTGTATACAACAGGTGTGGTGATGAATCAACATAATCTGATGTCATTGATGCTGTTTCCATATATGGTAACTTTTCCCAACGGATACAAGTCAATATCTAAGATCAGATATGAATAATTTTAAACAATTTTGATGTGGTAAGACTTGGAAAACAAGATGTGACACTGGTATGTGACATCAAAGGGTTTGGTATACTCATTGATGTGATACTATACATATTGATGATCA